AATTAAGGTTTCAGGTACAACTTCATTCTCCCTTTCCTATTTCTTGACAACCCATTTCCCAATCTAAATGCTGTCCTTTTTGTGTACTTTTTACTGTACAATTTCAAGCAAACCCACGAAACAAATCTCACTGTGTGGCACTAAACTCAGGTCTATATTAGTGCTTTACCTCTGAAATGCACTAGATTTTTCTTCCTGCAGTTTGCACTGTACTTGATGGCAAGAGTACAGTGTCATGTCGAAAGCATAGGAAGGCTTCAATGAAACTGTCAATCAATTCCGGAGATATTTGTTGGTGACAAAAGAATGGTTGCATGAAGGGATCTTGGTTTCAGTTACAGATACTGAAGAGAATACATTTCTAAAAAAATGAACACTTTAACTGCTTATCCTTACTTGAAGAGCTTTGATGCATTCCCTCCAAAGCTGCCCCATCACAGCCCTGATGCTTTCTCCAAAAAACCTTCTCCTACTGAAGTACAAGATCCCAGACTTCATTTCCCAGATTTAAGCTGGTACTAACTATCTCTCTTCACGCCTCCTCAACAGTCTCCTTGTCAGGCAGCTCCCTGTCACCCACAAATTCCAGTTCCTTTTCTTCTTTATAACTCTTCCCACCACCTGGGTGCACAAATCCTTCCCCAGTTTCACTGGTTCCCACCCCAAATGGGCACTCCTCTCTCAGTTCCATTTCAAGCCTCTTCATTCAAGTCTATCCTCCCGCAGTCTTCCCAGCGATCTTCCCACACCACAGCACAGCATTAACTGTCCAGATCCATAGCTGCTCTTCAGCACATTGTTGACAGCTATGAACCCTACAGCAACACAAAGATACACAAAGCCAAAATTAAGCGCAAAAAACAGACAGAAGAGAATTCAAAAACAGATGAGCTGCAGGTGCAACATTGTGCCAAGCACTTGCTATGGGACACGTGGTGGCAAAATTATGACCTGAATTATTGACTAGAGATAACACAAACAGAACCAGGCCCATACACTGTATATATGAGCAGGTCTGTCAATAACATGATGGGGTAGGTGAATGCAGCCACACCTACATCGATAATTCTCTGAGTTTACTTTTTCCTCTGAAAGACAGTTATTCCACAAGTGAGAGGCTGATACAAACTTCTTCTGGGTCAGTGACCCTGCACCTTGCTGGTGACTCATGAAGTCACTCTCCCTCTTTCTGCCCTTTTGATATCACATCTTAAGAGCTTAAAAGAGTTTGCCTCACTTACCAAGCTTGCAGGTTGATTGCAATATTAGGCATTCTCCTTCTGACAGCTTCCCAGCAGACTCTCACACCACTCTCTATGCTTCTCAACTTCTACATTAACTCTGCATTAATTTGCAGTATTAAATTTACCATAACGTTCATTCTTACACTCATTTGCTTTCCAGAAAGTGTTGTATAAACAATTCTGCATTGTTTTCACTCAAACATAATGTTCTCCAAGTTAATATCACCCGCAACGTGCAATTGCTTCACTCAAAGACTAAGAATAATGCATAGCATCTAAAACCCATATATATATACACACAGAGAGACGCATCCAGGCATACAGATATAGCTAAGTGTATATATAGATGTGTATCTGTTCAGACAGGTAACAGTAACAAGTAGATACACTGGGAAATGCTCCACAGTAATCCACAAGGCACAGTTTGAACCACGGACACGATTTCCTTCACACCTTGGGATGACATACCGACACAGATAAGGTCTCTAGTTTGCAGTAAAGTGGAAGTGCCAGAAACAAACCCTTGTGTTTCCAGCACAGCCTTCTGCTTCTCACTTGGTTTCCATGACCCAGTGGGGAGCAAGGATGTGTTGGCAACCACCACAGCCATGGTGTCACACATGCTCTCAGGCCATGAGGACTCTCACAACTATCCTAAAACCTCCTGATGGGGTGGATGTGGGCTTCCAGGGATGACAGCCCCCACCAGCGGTGGGTTTCTTACCAGCGAGGTCCAATGTCCTGTCCACGAAGATGACAGAGGCCTTGTTGGTGGCCGTCCTTCTCCTGTTCCTGGCTGGGGCATAGCTTGCCAGCTCAGCAGCGATGACCCTGCTGAGGGTCCCCACGGCGAAGCTCTCCTCCCGCAGGCCCAGGGCGGTGAACAGAGTGTCGAGGTTGCCCACCAGGGCCCGCACCGCCGCCCGCAGCTCGGCG